ACAAAATCGCTTCAAAATAATCGGTTCAAAATCGAACATGTTTGATTTGGAACGATCGTAAGTAAAATCGTCTACAAATGAACGCGCACACCAACCCGATATCGGCTGATTTTTATCGGGCCGATCAAATCGCGTGAAAATCGGCTGGTGTGCGACCCCCTTAAGCTATGTTATTTTACTCCCGACGAGATATGCACACAACCGCCACACGCGCAGGTAGGTCAAGCTAGTGTGCATATGATAACCTCAGCCAACAGATCATATATATATCCCTACATATGCATTATATTCTAAACGATAAACAACTAACAATAAGTAATTGCTCCGGGGCTTGTGCCACAATGTCGCAGCATCGTCCAGTCATGTACTACAGTAATCGATTGCAAATATATTCGTTATTATGAAAATGCAACTTAGATGTGGAAGACCTGAGATGACATGCGACTCTTTGAGTTTCCGCGTTTCTGTATAATATATATATAAATGTAACACGAATACTATAATTATAAATAAATTTTCAGTCTATTATTAAAACATGTTAATTACTGGTTTTTCTTTCCGTTGACAGGAACAGCATACCATAACATACTTAATCACTTTTAGGCCTATTGATTTAACGTAAATGTTATGTAAATTTTTACCTGGTGGGGTCAAGTTAATGACGTCATAAGTTATCTTCAATAGTTTACCGAGAGGTAAAATTAAGGGTACTAATTACCTTTGATATGAACATATGCCACATGTGAAATATCAAAGTAATTGATTCAGAAATGTCGACGATATGTCTAATAACATCACTGAAATGCGCTAAAATGCAATTAGATGACGTCATAAGTCATCTTCTAGGGATTACACAAAGGTCAAATTACGGCTACTAATTACCTTTGATGTGCATGCCGCAGCTTAAATATCAAAGTGATTGATTGAGAAATGTAGACGATATGGCTAATAACGTCACTGAAATGTGCTAAAATGCAATTTGATGACGTGATAGGTCATTACGTAGGGGTCACCGAGAGGTCAAATTAAGGCTACTAATTACCTCTACCTCATGTGAGAGTGTGAACATACCTCATGGGAAATATCAAGGTAATTGATTGCGAAATGTTGAGGATATGACTAATTAAATCACAAACAATGGGAAAGAATGCTCCAAAAATGTCCCGTTTTATACCCTCCCATAGGGAGTCCCCAAAATGGGTCAAAATTCCGTCACAAAAATGCCCGTAACTCGTCACAGGAGTAGAATTTTTTAATTCTGTAAAGGGATCTATGTTTCTTGTGACTGGGGCTATCGAATAAGCTTAAAAATTCCATTGGGGTCATTTATAAAAAAGTGACATAGCTATGCCTATCATTGATTTTCTTTGTTTCGCATCAGACATAATAAAATATATGAAAAGTCATGCGCAGATGAAACTTAGAAACTCGGAAATTCAGAAACTCGAAAACTCGGAAACTCAAAAAGTCGTATGTCGTTTTAGGGCTTCCATATGTTATAACACTATATTATAACATTGCACAATGTGACAAGATTACAAGACATATTGTTTTGAAACATATGTGATAAACCTGTAGACTAGGAGCACACCAATTATAACAATATTTTGCTCTGTGTCCATGACAGTTTATGAACGGTCTGGACACAGCAACCTCACATTACGTCTGGCCTTGAATTGTGGGAGCAACTTTTCAATGTTCTTTTGAATTCTTGTTCGGATGGGGTGATAATTCTGTGAATTCATATTGTTAGAAACAAAATTAGTCATGACACTAGTCTGCAGATTTTTTCTAATAGACAGTTGCCAGAAACATGGTGAAGTTATGTATAGTGTATATGCAGTGTGCAGTGGTCCAGTCATCGAGAAAAGTTGACTAATTTTGTTCGTTTATGACAATTGACCATTGCCCAGTATTGTCTGATTTTAAGATAACTGCTGTTTAGTATTTTATAGATACGTTGAGGTTTGGCGCAAGCCTTATTATATGCAGCTCAGTGATCCCACCCTATATCCAGCTAGTTCTGTATTTGTTTATACCGATACAAATCCATACAGTCGTCGTTACGGGTTCCGAGCATTACGATACGCCAGAGTAAACATGGCCGCGCCCATAAGGTTCATTGCTGCTATTTTAGCCGGCCTCTTTTTATGGGGTTTATACGATTTCGCTTATAAATTAGAGCCTAATGGATGTGACATGACATACATGTACGAGCGAATTGACTATGTTGTAAGTATAGTTCGGTTCTGTATTTTTTATATGTCTGATTTCAAGCTTGAAAAATGCTCATTCAGCATTCAGCACATGCCGCTGTAGCCTGTGTACACACTACACAGTGTCAGTGACACTCACTGACTCAGTAGGCAGGGTACGAAGCGTCGTTGTCGTATAATGGCGTATATAATATGTACCTGAGGTAACTATCTGATATGGTTAGGGTTAGGGTTGGGGAGTAGGCGTAGGCGACATACTCGCCGACACAGGCACTTCGAACGTCTCAATA